CAGTTTTCTTCATGAAAGACTATGGTATGGTTTCCTTACACTGGGCATGTCCTATGGTTTTCTGGCCATGGTGGAACTACAGGTCTCAGCATGCCCTGCCTTTGACCAGCAGGACATGGTGGAGTGGAGTTCCACCATCGCTGAGGACTCCAGACCACTGGGTTGTCACTTTGCAATCACTGCGTTTTTGGAAGTGCAGTCCACCATTGTTCTATGATATGAGTATGTTCAGAGATTACACATAGAGAAGCTATCAGGGACTGATACCAAGACACATCCAAGTACTTACATAATCATTGGTTGCTCTGTAATGATTGCTGATCACTTCTGAGTTGCATTTGTTGTAGGTTTAAATGAGATTTATCTTTAAAGGAAAACTGTCATACATGACCCATGGAGGCTGCCATTGCTGAGCTATGCTTCTGTAAATGCTAGTTACCTGGCTGTCTAGCAGCAACCCAAAACTTGTCCTGAACGAGTATGCAGAGCAAGACTTTTACTGCTAAATGGTTTCAAAAGTCCAAGAAAGATCAGGATAACACCCAGGCAATTTGCATCTTCAGGACAGCTTCTATAATACATTCATGATAGGATGCTTAAATAAGTATTTGTTGTTTTGTAATCACATAGTCAGACCCCAGTCATGAAGCACACTGAACTGTGAGCACCTGGCAATCGGTAATAGCACACACCTGTGTCTCCCTGCACTGCTGTATAAAAACCATTGTCCCTCAACAATCCATTATTGGCACTCTGCAAATATATATGACATATGACTATACAGCACAGTTACCAGAGTACCTTCAGTTTATGACCATACACTGCAGTTGTCAGAGTATCTACAGTATATGACTGTATGGCACATTTACTAGAGAACTTTGAGTATATGACTGTACATCAATTACCAGAGTACCTTTGATACATGACTGTGAAGCACAGCTATCAGACTACCTTCAGTATATGACCATACAGCACATTAATCAGAGTACCTTCAGTATATCACCAGGAGCGGACTGACCATTTGAGCACTTGGGCAGCGCCCGGGGTCAGTATGGGGCCTCATGAGATGCCCCTGGTACCTTTTTCATAGGCTTTTTTGGGTTTGGTTTGAGTGTGGGTGAGGACACAGGGGCCCCGTGATCCCCTATTGCCCGGGGGCCCCATGAGTTGTCAGTCCGCCCCTGTATATGACCATCTGGCACATTTATCAGAGATTCTTCAGTATATGACCATCTGGCACATTTATCGGAGTACCTTCAGTATATGACCATACGGCACATTTATCGGAGTACCTTCAGTATATGACCATACGGCACATTTATCAGAGATCCTTCAGTATATGACCATACAGCACATTTATGGGAGAGCCTTCAGTATATGACCATACAGCACATTTATGGGAGAGCCTTCAGTATATGACCATACAGCACATTTATCGGAGAGCCTTCAGTATATGACCATACAGCACATTTATCGGAGAGCCTTCAGTATATGACCATACAGCACATTTATCGGAGAGCCTTCAGTATATGACCATACAGCACATTTATCGGAGAGCCTTCAGTATATGACCATACAGCACATTTATCGGAGAGCCTTCAGTATATGACCATGCGGCACATTTATTGGAGAGCCTTCAGTATATGACCATGCGGCACATTTATCGGAGTACCTTCAGTATATGACCATGCGGCACATTTATCGGAGTACCTTCAGTATATGACCATACGGCACATTTATCAGAGATCCTTCAGTATATGACCATACAGCACATTTATCGGAGTACCTTCAGTATATGACCATGCGGCACATTTATCAGAGATCCTTCAGTATATGACCATGCGGCACATTTATCTGAGTACCTTCAGTATATGACCATGCGGCACATTTATCGGAGTACCTTCAGTATATGACCATGCAGCACATTTATCAGAGTACCTTCAGTATATGACCATACAGCACATTTATCGGAGTACCTTCAGTATATGACCATGCAGCACATTTATCAGAGTACCTTCAGTATATGACCATACGGCACATTTATCGGAGATCCTTCAGTATATGACCATGCGGCACATTTATCGGAGTACCTTCAGTATATGATCATACAGCACATTTATCAGAGATCCTTCAGTATATGACCATGCGGCACATTTATCGGAGTACCTTCAGTATATGACCATGCGGCACATTTATCGGAGATCCTTCAGTATATGACCATGCGGCACATTTATCGGAGTACCTTCAGTATATGACCATACAGCACATTTATCAGAGATCCTTCAGTATATGACCATACAGCACATTTATCGGAGTACCTTCAGTATATGACCATACAGCACATTTATCGGAGTACCTTCAGTATATGACCATGCGGCACATTTATCGGAGTACCTTCAGTATATGACCATGCGGCACATTTTTCGGAGTACCTTCAGTATATGACTATACAGCACATTTATCAGAGATCCTTCAGTATATGACCATACAGCACATTTATCAGAGATCCTTCAGTATATGACCATACAGCACATTTATCAGAGATCCTTCAGTATATGACCCATACAGCACATTTATCAGAGATCCTTCAGTATATGACCACACAGCACATTTATCAGAGATCCTTCAGTATATGACCATACAGCACATTTATCGGAGTACCTTCAATATATGACCATACAGCACATTTATCGGAGTACCTTCAGTATATGACCATACAGCACATTTATCAGAGATCCTTCAGTATATGACCATGCAGCACATTTATCGGAGTACCTTCAGTATATGACCATACAGCACATTTATCGGAGATCCTTCAGTATATGACCACACAGCACATTTATCGGAGTACCTTCAGTATATGACTATACAGCACATTTATCAGAGATCCTTCAGTATATGACCACACAGCACATTTCTCAGAGATCCTTCAGTATATGACCATACAGCACATTTATCAGAGATCCTTCAGTATATGACCATACAGCACATTTATCGGAGTACCTTCAGTATATGACCATACAGCACATTTATCAGAGATCCTTCAGTATATGACCATACAGCACATTTATCGGAGTACCTTCAGTATATGACCATACAGCACATTTATCGGAGTACCTTCAGTATATGACCATACAGCACATTTATCAGAGATCCTTCAGTATATGACCATACAGCACATTTATCGGAGTACCTTCAGTATATGACCATACAGCACATTTATCGGAGTACCTTCAGTATATGACCATACAGCACATTTATCAGAGATCCTTCAGTATATGACCATACAGCACATTTATCGGAGTACCTTCAGTATATGACCATGCAGCGCATTTATCGGAGATCCTTCAGTATATGACCATACAGCGCATTTATCAGAGTACCTTCAGTATGTGCCCAACCACAGATCACAAATGCAGTGCTGGAACTTGATACATGTGCAAAAACACTTGTATTACATTTGAAAAAACAATTAAATCACAAGGAATATGCTCTGCTTAGGTGTGAATGCAAGCTAAAACTGGCCATAGATGGATCACAATTTGGCCAGTTCTGAATTGTGAGTACCAGTTTCGATTGTTGATTTTTTTTTTTTTTTCAGTAAGGCTATGTCGCTTTTCACTCTGGATTACTCCAAAGATCCACCTATTGGATCAAAGGAATATCTATGCCCTCAAATGTATAAGCTGACACACGTGTGTATTATCTTGATATATCCAACATTCTATGTACCAAATGGAATTATGATTTGTATTTATATTTTTTATAAAATTAAGAGTTCCGCGAATACCGGACAAATTTCAATCCTACTATGGCCATTCCTGCTAGATGGAAGCAGGATCGGCTTCTCATAAATGGGAATGTTGGACATTTTCTATTCAATCAGTGCATGCAGCCAGTTGGAGTCCCTACTGTCAGAATACAATTTTGTTGCAGGGAGAATTCTATCATCTACCTCGAATGTGTAGATGGGGGAATTTTTTGTTTTATCTTTTTCTGATCAGCTGGCTGATCAAAAAAAGAAAAACGATTCAAAAGGAGGCTGAACAACCAGATTCTATAGTGTATGGCCAGCTTAAGATGTTGGATTGTGCTTTACCCTTTCTCTGATGTCTACAGTCTGCTTAACATTTGATATGATTATACTGAAAATGAAGAAAAAAACACTTAGAACACTATTTCAGTGCTTAAATACCTATAGCATTGATCAACAAAGACAGATAAATCTGGGACCTTTTATTCAGCACGTGTAAAAGGTTAAATACAGGGAAAAATAAACCACATCTGGTAAAAAAAATATTTTTATTAATATACCTAAATCTTAAAACATATCAGGCACCATGATTCCTATGACCCTAAAACCATATTAATATATAGCAAAATGCTATAAGGTTTTTTCTTTTTGGCTGATAGAAAAGTGGCAGTTCTGTTCACGTAGAGTGACTTTGATGGTACTTTGATGCTACTTTAGTGCCAGAGAGTGTAAAGTCGCACTATATGAACAGAACTGGCATACTTTCCTATTAGCCAAAACCCCCCCCCCCGCGCAAAACGCATCAAAAATGCAACACTTGCATTTTGGTGTTGGCCAACTGAAGTCTATTACACGCAATACACAATCTCCTGCGAGGAAATAAAAAGTCCCTGACCCTTTCCAAAAATGCATTGCCTCAAAAAGCAGAGATCTATAGGAAACCATGTTAAATGGACTGTAGTGTGTTTCTGCAAAACGCACTAAAAACCGCATAGGTGTGAACCAAGGCTTAAGGGCCTTTGTTGGGGCTTTTTTCACATCAAATCTACTACTCTACCTATATGTCAATGTAAAATCTTAAAATCTTAGTGTTTGTCCGCATAGTCCCTTACTGTGCAAAAAGAAATAGTTTGCATTGTCAAAGCCTACCCATCAGATTCCAGGCGTATTTTTCAGTTGCACAAGAATCCAGTATTGGGGCATCTGCATTTTCAGTACAAACTGTTCTGCTTTATTTTTTAATTAGAGAACTGAAATTTGGGATCCCAGTTACAGATGAAAATGGAAATAGACTTGCGGAGTCTACAAAAGCTGCCCAGCAAGCCATTGCCCAGGTGGTGGTATCACGAATTGGCATGGCGGCACCTGCTATGGGTAAGTAAAATTTATCTTCTGTTTTTTCTGCTTGTTACCATTTATACATTGGGTAGGGTTACCTTAAGCTTGACTAATGTTCAAATGCTAAGCTGAATTCCAGCTTGTATTGACTTGTTTGACATTTCACAGACTAAATTGAAATTTTACACACTGTACATGTCTGTTAATGGTATTTTTCATTAAGAAAGACTAGTAAATTGCTTTAAAGGTCAAGAAATACCAACACTGATTTCATGCTAAGATGACTTCAATGTATCTTTTTGAAACATAACTGGATTTTATTTTTCTGTAAAGAAATAATTTAAAGGAATTTTCCACTGTTAAAAAATGGTGGACCCCTGCTTCTTCTTTGTGCTCATAGCAACACAAATCATACTCCATGCTAAATTATCTCCTTTTTCTATTATCTCAGAATGTAATGGTAGATCTTTACTGGGCCTCATTTCGTCATGCTGCTGCCCAGGCACACTTGAATGTTGAACTTTCATACATACGCTGCCATTTGTGTTAGGTTGTGTTGGGTGATTATTTTATAGAAAATGCTGCTAGAATATGCTATTGGAGACAGTATGGAGTCTATTTTCAGGGATACTGTTCTACTGTAGAGAGCACCAAATAAGAAAAAAGGGAGATTGGCCTCTGGTTCCTGAACTGTAACAACTCTTCTGACTACTCACAGAATCTCCTTCCACCGTCAACCTGCAATTTTCTTGATGAATTCAGCCATTAACATACATTGCTAGATACCTCTGAAAGTTAGTGCTGCCCTCTGACCCTGCTTTTGTAGACACTGACTAATGCTGTATTGACTTCAAAGAGAAACTGAACTTTTATTTTTTCTAGAATTTCGGTGGTTCTAAAAGCACTATTTAATTCAACCGATTTATGTCTTGATATAGGGCATTTTCATTTAGTAATTTGTGCCTGAGAAGTGCAGTTAAGCTTCTTTCACACTTGCTATCCAATCAGGTCCACCTGTCAGTTGTTTAGATGGACCTGATCAGAAACTCAATGCAAGTTTATCGGCAGGAGGTTGTAAACAGATGTGCTTTTGTTTTACGTCAGCCCACCTCCTAGTCTGTCCAGGTCCTATAAGAAAAATGCAGTACTTTTCCATTTTTCTGGGCTTAAATATGATGGATTGGCGGTAGCCTGATGTAAACAGATGCAAGTTAATTTACATCTGGTTGCCCTTAGAGCCATCATGGGTCCGCCAACATCTGCTGTCAAAATGTGGACAAAAAAATGAATGGGCATGGATGCCATTTTTGTCCTGTTCAGCTCTGGATCATCAGTTCCATCAAGAAAAGTGATTTAAAAAAAGCATGAAAGTGGAATCCTTTTACATAACTGACACATAAGCTTACATTGATATACAGTACATTTTGTTTTTCATGTCTATTTTTTTAACTGTAGAAGAATAGTCAGAGGTGGACAAAAATATAAACCAAAGATATGTTTCATGCTTAAAAACAGATAAAGGGAACAGGTGTAAACCGGTAGCACCCATTTTACATCTGTGCATGTCCTCAAAAATGAAAAAGAATGCAACCTTTTTATGTTTGTTTTTCTTTTCTGCAGACATAAAGGAACTCAATGTAGACTTGGGCTGTGGTTCAGTCTAAATCTGTCTGAAAAACTGGCAAACAGATATAGACTTAACGCCTGTGTGAAAAGGCCCTTATGATGAGCGTCAAGCCTTGTTATATGGTCACCTGCACCTATAATGGTGGACACTGATTGCCAAAGGTCTTTGTACAAATAAACAGCTTGAAATCACTGTTTATTTCTTTATGTACTGTATGTGTGGGCTCTTTTCTCGAGAATCGCCAAGTTACAGTACGTCTAGTTTGTGCAAACTAAACCTTTGTTGAACAGCCTTCTTAGGGCATGGTGGCACTAGGGCTTAAGGTGTCCAGCAGTGCAAGAGAGGACCATCCTAGATCTTGAAAAACCGGTCACATATCTTGATTCTCTAAAACCGTATTGATGTCTGTTTAGCAGCACAGGATTTTAGGAGCACTTGGTAATCTTTTGCAATTCAGGTAGAACAAGAAGTTCAATTCCTGCTGTTTCAAAGAATGTGGTCATTCAGGGTCGTTTCTAAGCCATTTTAAATGAGCTTTGAATGCCCATTAGTACAAGAAAAATCATGCCTGCACTATTTTAGTAAAGCAGGGCATCACACGTGGGATTTCACTTGAATTGTTCCATACTGTATATTTGTGCTGAGGTGCCAGTGCCATACCACAACGCACATACAAACTCATGTGTTGCTGTAATGTGTATATTATGCTATAGTGTGAATGGGGTTCATTTCATGGGTTTTGTTTAGTGTTCAGAAAGGGGTAGTGTTAAGGTCCTTTTTTTTTATTTTTTAAATTTTCAAAGTTTATTGATTTACATTTAAAATACGGTCTGTAACATTAAAGGGTACACATGATTACATAGCTAAAACAGGCTTGTACTGTCTGTCATTATTTTTAGGAAATCAACATAGTACCTACTGTACATTGAGCTGAATGAGTAATTGTTACCAAAATGTTGCTGAAGTTAACCAGCTTAAGATGAACTTTGGGAAGTTTGAAGCCTCTATAGAACCTTTGATCTGAGAAAAGAAAAAGACATTATTATCCAAATTGTGGAAGGGGTAACTTGCATTAGGGGCTTAACAGTAATGAATAAGTAAGGGCTAGGGACATCTAGGACCATTTTTATACTGTAATAATTTACTAACTATGGAATATAAAGTATGTGCAGCTGATGAATATATTAATATTTTTGTTTTATTTTGATCATTACTAAGTGTGGTTTACAGAGTATACTGTACAGCAGCCAAAAGGCTTACATTGACTATTAGTGTTCCAAAATGGTGACCTTGCTTTTCATGTCTAATTCATGTCACTTTGCCTTTCTTAGCCATCCCACCTGTAATTATGAACTTTCTGGAAAAGAGGGCGTTTCTTAAGGTAAGATTCAGCACTAAGTTCTGAATGGTTATTTTCTCTATAAATGTTTGTTGTTTTTTTTTCTTTGTATATTATTACACCTAGGGGTCTAGTTAGAAAACATTCACTGGAATGTCCCACATATTTGTGCAAGCTGCATTAATGTTTCTGAAATAGATTCATGCCTATGTTTGTAAGCTCCATCTAGTGACCAAAATGTGGTATATTTTCTATTTTTTATATTACCGTATTTATTGAGAAAATTCAGGAAACTATACCACTTTTTGGCCATATGTAGCTGGCAATCATAGGAATTAATCTATTAAAGAAGATATGGGAAAATCTGTCTGGGCTGCATGAATGTGTATGAGATTTTTTTGCCAGCAGTTTCTGGCTGTTCTTATGTCACAGGTCCTCTCCTTTTGGTGGCGGTAGTGCTGCAATGAATGGTGCTCATAAAGTGACACACAAACGCTGCTCAATCCTTTAAGCTCAGTTGCTTGCCCAGAAGGCAGGTCCATGACAGTCTGGCCTCCAGAGGACATGATTTGAATGATGCTCGCAGTCATGTATCCCAGAAGGATGGTGACACCTATTGGCAAAAAAGTACTATTACTTTTTTAAAAGTACTAAGCTATTTTATTTATTGTGTTAACTGGAGTTCAGATTTAAACCAAAAACAACTGTCTTATGTATAGAAATACCAGGTATGCAATGTTTCTTGTTACAATAGTGGTGTTACTCCTAATATAGTACAGAGAGAACCTCTCATTAAGAATTAAATGTCAATGGCCTCTCTCAATATCTGCAAGAATAAAGGTTAAAAAAGATCTGCAACAGTTTATTAAATTCATAGTTAACCTGGTGTGATTTTTGTCTCCAAAAATTGGGTTTTTGTTTTTCCTTTCAGAATGTCATCTTTGCACATAGAGAAATGGTTTATCTTCATCATGAAAACATTATTTACCTATTGTTTTGCCTTTCTGCTTTCTCTAGCGTTATCCAATAATGAATGCACCCTTACAAGTTGGGCTAGTTGGCTTTTGGTAAGCACTGGTAATGTTTTTAAAGTGATTCCTATATAAAACTGGGACAAACATACGGTATGTACAATAGCTCATCTGGTCATTGTATAGTGACAATTTTTGGAACTGGAGTTCCCATTTTCTGCACCCCTCAAATGTTTTATAATCCTGCAAGTAGGACCACATCTTTATTACTAACAGATTTAAAGAAGCACTCTAATCATTTAAATTAAGTGTTGATGGCTACCACCACCAAAAAAGCGGTTTTCCGCTAATCTGCAAAATCTCCATTGGTAAACATAATTGCTTCCAATATTGCTTCCTTAAATTGCTCATTTTTGCCCTCAGTGTTTTCCTATAAACAGCCTGATCCTTGACCAAACTTCAAATAGGGCCATAGATTGGGGTCAAATTGGAGAAGATATGACCATCCTTACTTCTTTAAACAGTACTATTGGGCTTGTACAATCACTGTAGTGCCACATTTATATAATTCATTAGCAGTAAACTAACTCTATAGGCCCCTTTCACATGGTTGGACAGATCGTCTGTTTTTCATCCATCAATTGATGGATTCACAGCCAATTGATACAGTAGTTGTTACTGGTTCACGTCAGGTTTACATCAGGCTCAGGATCTTATCCTGTTCACACAAATGCGGTTTAGAAACGGTTCCCATAGAAGTCAATAGCTTGTAATCTGCACCTGAACCGGACCACACTGCTCAGAAATCGGACATGACTCTTTTTAAAAAGCACTGAATCCACACGGCCAGTGCACCGGACATATGTGAACAGGCACCATAGGAAGCAATGTTTTTTCACATGTCATATGTGAACACGCATATGTAAACACATATGCAAAAACATATGTAGACTGATGTAAACTGAACTGATATAAACGGAAGTTAAAACTGAAATAAACTGATGTAAAAACTGAATCTGTTTTTTTTCTTTTGAAAAAATACGACTGAGTGATGCCCGTGTGAAAGGGGCGTTAAGCTGTCCCCACGGTAGGAATCCCTGACATGGAGAGGACAGGTTCTGTGGCTTCCCATGAGTAAAATAAGTGAATAAAGTAGCATGTTCCAGTTATCCTTTTGATGGTGTAAAGACAATGGCGTGTCACATGAGCTGTCTTTCCATCTCTGTCATATCACTGGTAAAGTTATGTATAGTTGGAAATGTTGTATTCTACTCAGAATATAAACTTTCTTCTTCTGTTTTAGCTTGGTCTTTGCAACGCCGCTTTGCTGTGCTCTGTTTCCTCAGAAAAGGTGTGTAAAACTTTTTGAGAGTAATAAAAGCATTTAACTCTGTGACTTCCACTGTTCAGTACATATTCTATAATATTTTGTATAGACATTGACATATGGTACAAGCCTACAGCTACATCTTTAGCAGGGAACAGTATAGCAGCAGCCATGATTGTCCTACCTGCTTGTGGGTGGGGCTTCCTCGCACATGCACATGGGGCCTCTCCCTTACACTCCTCCCACCTCTAGTGTGCATGCTTACTAATGCCCAGGGCCAGGTGGGGCCATGGTCAAATGCCTTCAAAATTACGGTGGTCCTGAATTTAAAGCGAGACACACACCCCGATGCACTTGCACCATAACCTAGAGCTTGAATGTATGTGTCACGCCATCCCATAATACGTGCATCTATGGGGAATATGACATTTTGAAAGGGACACCATAAAGAAATGTTCTATTTCTACCATTGTTCTACCATTCCAGCTACACTAACATCTCACTCACAGTGATAGCCTGCGGTTCTCCGTACACCTATGAGAATCCACTTGTGTGTCTGGCTTGACTAACCCCTTCTTTACCCATGGATAGGTCCCTAGGATCTCTGCCATGTGGGTTCCGACCTGGTTATTGGGGTACCGATCACTCAGGAGGGAGACCGCAGCCTGCTCCCTTCACTATGCATGAGACCCGTCACCTCTGCCAACACTGTACTCCTGCTGTCTGGTTGTCAGTGCATTCTTTTGAGCTTGTTGCCCTTAGCAACAGTATGTTCTTCACTTCTCTCCGTGTGTATGCATACAGGCCCTGTGCTTCTGATATGCCACTACCGCAATGCACCCCTTTTGAATAACTTCAGTCCAGGATTGGAAGTGAATACATATCAAACATCTTTACTGATATCATATCAGTTCCACAGTGCATAAGTCCCTAACAAACATCCCTAGGCTGCCCTGGCATACCTCAATGGGTAGAAGTCTAATACTGATAGTTTCCTTCAAGGAAGCGCTTTGCAGGTAAAATCTTCCTGTTTGGACCCTTTAGCGCATTCCCGTGGGCCCTCCTGGATCTGCCCAAACCCTGGACCCAGCCTTTCCATGCTTTTATATATACCACAGGCCCAGAAAAAGCCAAGGAAACAGACCCAGCATTAACCTTTCCCCACCTGGGCAGCCTGGAATCTCTATCTAACAACTTGTAGGCACCTGCCTACATGCTTGGTTGAGATCCCAGTATTTTTCTTGGTGGTCTTTTTGACTTGTGTCACATTGTTGAATAGTTGCACTGGAATCATTGGTATCATCAATATTGATGGTTAAATGCCTAATCATTGATTAGTACCAATGTTGGAAAATATGGAAACAGAACTCCTTGTGACTGATCTTAGCCTTTGAAAGTATTTAAATTGTGGCCTGCCTTGAAACCACCTAGTTTTGTGTTTTGATCTCAAATTACAGGTCCCAAGGCTGAAAAGTTGTAATTTTTCATTATTTTTGTGTGTATGTATGTGTATATATACACACACACACAATCTCCGAACCATATCCACAGATGCTGTAGCTGCTAACCTGCACACAATGTAATATTATATGAGCGAATCTATTTTATTATGTTACTAGGTGGTGTTGCCCATTAACGTATCTGTTATTTTGTTTATTAGCTCCATGAAAGTGTCCAGTCTAGAACCAGAGGTCCGTGACTGCATCCTGGAGAAGAATCCAAACATCCAGATTGTATACTTTAATAAAGGACTCTAGATGAGGACAATCCCATGAACCATTTTCAGTCATACATGAACAAGACATCTATACCATTCACTTTACAAGCTGCTAACACAATTGTATTGTACTGTGGGCATACACCCCCGTTATCTCAGGTATAATCAGACGTGGTGTATGAATTTGTGAGTTGGTGGTTGTTTTGGTGTTTTCCTGGGGAGTTCAATACATTCCAGTCTTTAATGGCTTCTTCCAAGGCATATAATAAGAAGATGCTCCAGCCTTTGAAGCTGAGAATTAAAAGCAGATGGCACAGATTTCTATATAAAGGACAAAACAGCTCTGCTGTACAGCTATTTTTCTTGCTTTAATTTGCCTTTCTCTGTAAGAAAATCCTATAACCAAAATGCAAATATAAAGATCTGCAGGGAAAAAGCAAAATTGTTGTTTGTAAAAGGACACTAAAAGTTGCATCAGTGCAAAATTATATTTACATTGTGGCTACCTAAAATGATGGTTATGTGGGTTATAAGGTATTACAGGGTCACTTTATACATTTTGGAAGCAGGAAAGGCTAGCACTTAGGATAATATCCAACTGTATGAGCCATGACTGAAGACTAAACATGTTGGCTGTTTTTAGCTATGTACATGCTATTATAATAAAGAAGTATATGGTTGGATATTATCCTGAGTGCCAACCTATCCTGTTTCCAATTCTGATCTCTGGGGGCATCTGCAGCTTCCAGATCTGAGCACCGGGTGGAGCGGTAATTGATAGTAGTATCCTTACATCTGTTTCACTTTGTACATTTTAATTTGTACAGAAATGACCTAGAAGATCATTTAGAAATAATAAGACACTTCGGTCCAATGCATACATTTCCTGTTTAAATGATTCAGGAGACACATTTTACCTGCTGATTCTCACCCTGGTTTCCACCTTCTGCATCCGGCTGATTCACCGAGTTTCTGATACTTTGATTTTTTTTTTTTCTACATCCCTGAAACTGAGTATATAATGCAGGGCCTATTGTTCCCTGGTTCCAGCAAGCTAGACATACGGAAACTGCAACATCAGCGGAGGCTTGCAAAGCACCAAACCATGTAACAGAAGGCTGCATTCCTGTACAAAAGTACAGTGGAAAGCCCATTGAATGTAGTCACGATGGTCTGTCTAAGGGCTGGTTTACACCAGAGCGCAGTTTGGGAAAGGTGCGTTCCGTGTACAATCCCTGCACCATGCTCAAAATGCACTGACTTTGAAATCTGTTCTATTAACAATGTATTGGCAACCCACACACAGATTGCACATCTAGTGCTTTTGGGTGCTCCAGATCACATGGTACCACAGTGGCACGTTTTTCAAAAGTAGTGCATGCACTAATTTTTGTATGTTCCGCTTTGTTATGCAGCCCTTCCAAAACCAACAAATGGGCTGCAAAAACCTCACTGCAGGGGAATGCATAGAAACATGGACCACGTTCCTTTGCGATTCTGGTGTGAGCCAGCCTTAAAACTCAGAAGAAAAATAATTTTAGCGGTTGATTTGACAGTTGGAGTACTTCCCAGAAAGCACTAGCAGTTAAAGAAGAACTCCAGGCAGATACTTTTTTTTTTTTCTTTTTTTCTGTGTGAGTGCTGTGGTTTCATACCTTCATCAAACATTGTGTTCAATTTTTCCTCAGTCCATCTTCTCTGAGAAAACTGAGGTGCATTATTTCAATCACAGGCTTCCTTTCCTGTGGCATCTGTTCTGTAAGACCGGTGGCCGTTATGCCCTGTATTCCCGCACCCACTGGTCTCTGCCTCATTGTCTCTGCCCTGCTGTAGTTTTACAGTGAACAGGGACGCAATTCCGTTCCTGCTCCCTGAAGTGGGTGGACCCAGGAGTCTCAGACTCCCTGTCTGAACCATCCACTCATGTACTCACTAGAGAGACAAGAGATTCTTGGTCTGTCTCTTCTCCCATGACTTCATTTACTGACAGACCAGGAGTCTCTTCCCCTCTCTCAGTAACGCAGTGTAGATTAGCACTATGTGGGTGAGTACACAAGCTCATTTAGTGCAAGAAACACACGCCCAATGTACCTGCCAAATTCACACCCATTCATGCACTTTCATCTCACTCTACAGCTATGCATGATGGGAATGGTAGTTTCTCATAGCTGTAGAGTAAGAAAGCAGGATGAGACATGTCCCGGGTCCTTCTTCCTAGAGAAGCTGTTATTATTTGAATTGGAGTGATGACATCACAAATACTGAATTCTAAATTTCTCCTAAATGGTGAGGCTAATAAATAAACTGCTAAAAGTTTATTCGTTTTCATAGGTCAGTGTACGTATTGCAGTTTTTATGTGGTATCCTGGAGTCCTTCTTTAAAGTGTTACTAAACCCACAACAGTAAAATCAGTCTGTATATGCAGTAAAGCATGCTTGTTATACTCACTGTGGAACCTAAGGGGTTAATCCTCTGCATTGTGTAAAAAGGCTGTTTGATCCTGACTTCTCTGCCTCTCTTGTCGAAATGACCACCTGATACAGACTGAATCCGTAGTCACATGCACATGCTCAGTTTGGGGTGTATTGCTAGAGAGCTTTTTGTTTTTCTTGGGAGGGTGCATGTGATCAGCACAGGGCTGCCACAGGGCCAATCAGCACTGTAAAGACAGAGGGTCAAGGGTTTCACATCCTCCTAGAGTAGAAAGAAAACTCCTCCTACGAGCTTTAACCAGTGCTCTGCTGAAGTCACAAGACTGCTCTAGCTGCTGATGAGAAAGGGTATTTAGCTGTTTATATTTACTAAAATAATTGCACTTCCATGTTGTGTGTACTGTGGGAGACCAGATATAGTGAATGCAGGGTCCTGGGTTTAGTAACACTTTAAGTAACGGAGTTTAAATTGTTGCCTTGAACATACCTCCCAACTTTCAGAGATGAGAAAGAGGGACACCTTAATATAAGGTATTTAGTGAGAGGTACACACACTCCTGCGATGCAAAGTGATGTGGACCATAAAGAATTATTACGCAGAAATGACTGTCGAAACCCACAAGTGATTTTTTTTTTTTTTTGGTCACCACTGTTTTTTCTTTATACTGTCATTTCAACTGAATTAAATAATCAAGTAGTTGGATGTACAGTTTACTGCAGTTTAACTACAAATAAATAAATACCACATTTCTTTATAAAGGTCTATGCATCAGACTAAAAAGAAGGGCAGAGGGATTTGGTTAAAAAAAGGGGACAGTCCCTCCAAATCAGGGACAATTGGAAGTTATGACTTAATGTACCTTTTTGTTACAATGACTTGCATGTCTTGAAGTTGAAGAAACAGACTGGTGCAGAATACAAAAAATGCTCACATATGTATACATGCTCACTGTTTTGGAAGGAAATGTATGCATTTTGGTATGTCACCTTGAATGTACTCAAAGGTAGATATGATTTAACTTTTAATCAAAATGTATATTTAACAATGAACTTGAGGCAGCCACAATACAACGAGATTGCGGATTAAACCGTATGATGTACATTTTATTTACATTTGGCAAGTGTGCCTAAATCCATTTTGATGTGAATCAGCTGTAATCACCTGCGCAGATTAGGGGAGGAAGGGGAGCACTGCAAGCCTATGAAGGATCTATAACATTGCACAGGGCTGTCAGTGATCACTAGAAAACTGAATAGGTGAGGGAGTAAGCAATGATCCCATTAATGTACTGCTGCTCCTTTATCATCCAGCCAGAGGATGGAGCTGGCCCAGGTCTAAGCTACATTACTTAACTACACTGTAGTTTTCTAAGTGATCTCGGTATGTGCAAGAACTGCCCAGGCTGTCTGGACTGCTTAACCAATGGAGCAGAAGTTTACATATATGAAGTTCAACTTTATATTAGCTGTTTGAGAGTTGTTTTAGTTTTTATCAGATACCATTGCAATAAAGCTGAAGTTTAGTTAGAAATAAATTTTACCCTATAGCTGCAGTCACATCACTTACCTGTGATCAATTATGTTCCAAATCATGCAGGGTGCTGCTTCATGTAGAAATCTTCTTTGCAGGGTGTCTGGTCCTCTTCCTGGCACTGAACTTCCAGCACTACATGGGTAATCGCTTTGAGCTTTTAGGTTGAAATGCATTCAAGATGTTGTTTCTCCATGGAGAAAATTGCATTGTTTACATTGAATTTACAATGGTCTCTGAATGGGGTAGAGTAGGGTGAATGATAGGATTCTCTCTCCCATTCAGAGATCATATTCCATTCAGTGTAAACAATGCACAGTTTTTTTTCTTAATGGATGGGAGGGAAGGAGGGTGCTAGAGCCCATAGGAGATTGTTTTGAATGCAGTTTAGTCCAAAGACCCAAAGCTATTACCCAATGAGCTGGAAGTTCAGCACCAGGAATAAGACTGGCCACACTGCAGAGAAGGTTTCTACACAAAGTCTGAGTGCTGTGGGGCATTCTTTTACAGGTAAGTGACATGACTGCTGTTATAAAGGAAAAACATTTTTTTTTTTTTTACTATTTCAGCTTTAAATACTCGTGCCTCAATTCCTTTTACAGCCCTCAACTAAAGTATCATTAAACTAGGCAAATTAATATCACCCCTCTTGCTACATTCTTTGTAGGATGTTAAATATTTTGAGAAATCAGAAGTGATAGTAAGATCCCTATCTGCAAGCCATTATTTTATTTTGCAAGTGACAATGGAGGTTAACCACTCCACAGTGGCCTGCTAAAGCCCAATAAATTACTGGCGTTCAAGCCCCTTTGGCCAATATCTAAGTTGACAGATTGCCAGCCCCAGCCTGAATCAGACCCTAAATGTTAAAGACATTATTGAATATACTGTATGACTGTTTAATAAAACATCAGTTTGGGGCTGCACTGTTATACACTGAAACTGCGGTCTAAAGATTCTACAGAGATTTGCTTGAACTGCCATTTCAGGTGAGGAAAATGAAAATTTCCTATTCATAAACCCTTTGGGAGTTATGCTTAGTAAAAATCACCACCCGGTCTGAGATGGAGCCAGCT